ATATATAGGCAGCATATCTTCATCCAAGCATGTTTCATTAAATAATATAGATATATTATGTCTATTTATTTCCTTTCTAGTTCTCTAATTATCTTCATGATTTTATGTTGAAATTCATCAAGGAAGGGGCCGTATTTTTTGATAACCCAAGTACTTTCGATCTTCCCTTAGATCATCCTCAGGAGAGTAATTGATAGCGGCTCGGATTGAGGAATCGGAGAGCCGAGTTCGAATTCCAGTCGAATCCATTACACTCACTTACATGCTAATACCCTTGGGAAAGGTATGAATCCTCTTCTTCACCCACCAGCTATGGGTAAATAGCTGGACAGACTGTGTTCTATAGCCTTGGATGGCAACTTGTCTACCACAGAAAGAAATGGCAACCTACTGCGTGAAAAATCTGTCTCTTCAGTCATGTATCGAAAGATACATGATCGGCTATGCGTCTATTACGCATGGCATATAACTGACTGAATTCACCGCTGAGGATGATCTCGGATTAGACTGAAAGTACTTGGATGAAAATAACACTCATTTTAAAACTTATATCCAGCAGTCCAAAAAAGGCATTTGAATCACTACCAGGCAAAAATCATTTTTATAATATGTGGAAATATCTACTCTTTGCTTGAAGAAGGTCGCGATACCAGAAACCCGGATAGCAGAATTATGGAAAATAGAGTATAATATATATTTTAAAATAAAATATCCACATTTCAACCAAAGACGTTTTCAGTTTATCTTCTTTTTAAGATTATATATATATATATATATATATATATATATATATATATATATATATATATATATATATATATATATATATATATATATATAAAATATATATATATATATATATTCATATATATATATATATATATATATATATAATTCATCAAGTCTGAAACCTCAATAGAATGCACTGGACGGCCAAAACGCTCACTGAGAGAGCATTAGAAGCCGGTTTATATACATTATAGAAATTATTGATAATTATCAGTTCATCGAGTCTGAAGCCTCAACAGAATGCAGAAAGCATCGAGGCCCGTTGGAACAGTTGGTATGATGTTTGTTTGACAACCGAACTGTCAGGGTTTCAATTCTCGCTAGTGGATGCGCACTGCTGATGAGTCCCAAATATAGGACGAAACGGCCGTCCAGTGCTTTCTGCATTCTGTTGAGGTTTCAGACTCGATGAATTACTTAAATATAATTATCAATTCCTCCTAATAATTTCTATCATATATATATATTACTTTAATTGTTATTTTTAGTGGATACTCATATTTGATAAGACGTTACATTTATTTTAAACAGTATTTATTTCATCTATCGGCCTGAAATTTATAGGTGCGTGTGTTTGTAATATTTATCCAAAAGAAAAAATGAAGATGACAAGACAAAGTGGAAATTTTTATCAACGATGAATTTCGCCGTAGAAGCGTGTGCTCTCCTTGGCTTTCTCAGGCTAACAGTAAACACTTCTCCGGCGAAATGCGTCGTTAATAAAAAAAAAAAAAAAAAATCCACTGTCTCTTCATATATCGAGGTTGCGATGGATAAATTGTCGTCTAAATTACGTAAAAGTGAAGATAACACTGACATCTCATTTTAACAGATATATTTACCAAAGTTACACAAAAATATCTTGAAATACTAAAGGGTAAATTTTCAATGAAGTCACTGTTGGCTTCAATCACGGCCCCGAGACGCTTTCGGAATCTACTGGACGGTCTCTATGTTTAAGTTGGTGAATGCCGCCATAATCCTTGCCTTCAGTTCATCTTTGGTGTTACAAGGACTTTTGCTGGTCACTAGCTCAACTGCATTCCACACATAATAAGGTTGAAGTGGGTTAATGCTGGAACAGCATCCCCCAAACCAATAACATCCTAACTTTCTGACAAATCGACCATGGTGAGATTCGAATGCGGGTCTCATCGTCAGAAAGCGAACGTTGTAACCACTTGCCTACGAATCGTAATTCTTAAGTTAATGATTGAATAACCTCTGTATGAGTTCCACGACTATAAAATGCACATCGAAATTTACTTTATGCTCGGTTATATATTTGAGCTTAACAACTTTAACAAAATATTGCAGTAAACATAAAGAATGTAGGTGATTATTTAAAAAAAAAAGTAAGAGGGTAAAATATAAAAGATTTAAAATGGAGAAGTTTTTTTTTTCATTTCACTGAAGCAGACGTGAAACACATGAGAACGTTATTTGCCTTCTCTATTCTATCTTTTCTTTCTTTCACTGAAATTAAATAGCGTCTGTGATCTGTCTTTTCTCGCAAGCAAAATGGAATAGTCCATTTTTGATGACGTACGGGAATTAACTAAGAAAGTTTAAATAATAAATAACGAACAAGCAAAATAATAATGTGATGTTCCGAGTACATTCGACCATCGTTGAATGTTTTCAAGGAAAGAAAGTCGTGAGATAGCAAGTGGCGGGTCTATATTGCTAATGGTCCGATGTTTGATGTGAA